ATGGTGCACAAGGAAGCTTTCAGATTATCCAGAGTCCCTATAGGTTTAGGAATGGCTGACCACCATGAAAGAAACATGATGGCTGTGCCACCTCACCACTCCCCAAGAGATCCTGAACTCCCCTTGGATTCCTGCCAGGCCACTAGAGTGTGGAGGCCTGCCCGAAGGACTCCAGGCTCAGGCCTGGGTGGAGGTAGCAGCGGCTGAGGGGACAGCACCAACGGCCACTGCCACATGAAGTCCTGGGTGGGCTGCTCTCAGGCCCTGCCCCTCCCATCTGCATGGGAAGCACCTGATCTCCCTGTACCTCCATCTGGACCCTGGACTCTTGTCCAGAAACCAAAGAGAAACTGTCCTCTTTGGCACTTGGTGGCTGAGAATTTCAAAGCCAAATTTGGATCCATCTATAGCAATTGTGTATGATCCTGGCTTTGTTTTATCTTCTCACCCTTATTTTCCTTTTGCCCCAATTTCTTCTGGTATCTATTTAATCCTGTGGTATTGTGTGTGTTTTGTAAGCCAACTTAAATCCTTTCTAGAGTGAAGCAGGGCAAATAAATTAAATGGTCATAATCTCTAGTAATCACTTGGTAAACCACTGCCGGGTGGCGTGGGAGGGGCTCTCAGCCCAGAGAAACGGTGGCCTGAAGGAGTCCCTGACATTCCCCTGGGAACAGACTGGAACCACACCACAGCCAGCCGCTCTTCAGCAGAGTGCCACAAGTGTCATCAAGACAGGAGGGGCCATCAGGACAGACCCAGAAGACCTCACCGCAAATGGCGGCACCCACCTCATGCAAACACTACCAGCGGCAGCTTTGCTTCCAGGACTTCAAGTTGGTTCTGATTCACATGAGCAAATCAGAGGGTAATAAGGATTTCTAGTCTGTTTTCCTTCCTATTTTTTTTTTTTTAAGAACAGGAATGCTGGCAGTGAAACTCCCACCAAGAAATCCAAGCTCTAGGCCACATGGGACTTGTTCAAGGTGCCTCATGACAGCTGCAGCACCAGCTCCAGAGTCTGATTCAGGAGCTCGGCAAAGGGAGCTGGATGCTGAGCCAGGCACTCCTTCCTTCTCTCGCCAGCCCAGGGCAGGAGAGACAGGAGGAGGAGGAGATCTGGCTCCTGACCGTAGAGCATCAGTGGTCAGAGGACAGCAGCAATCTCATTCCCAGGCCTTCACCTTGAGTCACAAGAATGAGTCTCCCACTCTACCTACCACCTCTAATGTAGGCTCCTACCCCCCCAGCTTCTGCAACTTCTCCACAGCCTGCCAGAAGCCATGGCTGGTCCTACAGCACACGAGAGGTGAGAAGAGCCTTGAGTGGGGAGAATGGGGACTGCTTCTGCTTGGGCTCCAGCCGGCTGCCAGGTCTGTGTGGCAGACCTGTGCCACCTGGCTGCCAGGTCTGTGCAGGCAGATCCCGACCCCCTAGCCTTCAGCCTCCCGATGACAGTCCTGAGCACCTGCTACACGCCAGGATCACAAGAGGGCAGCCAACCCGGGGTTGCCAAGCTCCAGCTTTGGGTGGGAGGGCCGCTGGAGAGCCCAGGGTCACAAAACTGTGAAGTGGACACTAGCGCAAGGTGAGGCAAATGCCTGGGGAGCACTGTCCAGCACCGACAGCTCCCAACAGGCAACTCCAGCCTGGAACTCTCCCCTAACTCTAGACTTCTCGGACCTTCCTGACACCTCCACTTGCATGTCTAGTACACACTTCAACATGTCTAGACCTCAACCCCTCGCCCCTCCAAACCTGCTGCACCCACAGCCCGCCTCACCTCAGGTGACGGCAGTGCCATCTGCCAGGTGCGCAGCTCATGGCTCAGAGTGGTCTTCAACTCCTCTCTCTCCCACTGTTGTCCAGTTCTCCAGCAAGTCTTTCTGGCTCTTCTTTAAAACACACCCAGAACCTGGCCACTTCCCAGACCTCTGCAGCACCATCCAGGTCCAGGCCCCTGTCACCCCCCATCTGGATTAGGGAGGGCAGTGGCTGTGCTAATCCATACGCAGCCAGAGGGATCCTCCTAACCCTTCTCATCCTTAACTCAGACCAAATCCCTCCTCAGTTCAAAACCCTCCTATTTCTCCATCTTACTCTGTGTAAAAGTTAAAAGAACTTTGACATAGACCCAGAAGGCTCCAGTCTACTAAGTGCGTGGTCTGTGGCATGGTAAGTACAGACAATGAAAGTATTTTTGGAAATTTTATAGTAATTTGACATTGCTACAACATCCAAACGCTGACACAAAAGTACCCACCTGGGATGGACTGGGAATCTCAGGCCCGCTCCCTCCCGGAAGTGGTTTGGGAGGCCTGCCCTCTGCCACACTCCAGCCTGGCCTCACCTGCCACACTCCCTCACTCAGCAACAGCCTCGCTGGCCACCTTCCTGTTCCCCAAAGAGCCTCAGCACACTCCCACCCCAGGGCCTTTGCACTGCTGCCCCTCTGCCCAGAAAGCTCTTCCTAACCTCCACACGGCTCCCTCCCCCTCCCCCTCCTCCTCCTCCAATCCTCGGTCCAACAATACTTTCTAAAGAGGCTTGTCCTGTCCACCGTATTTTTTGCCTATGCCCCACAAAAACCTTTGGCCATGTTATCTTTATTTTGCTGTTTTACAGAGTGCTTACCACATAATGTGCTGTATAATTTATTTATCTTATGTTTTTCTTTCCCTGCCAAGCTGCAGAAGGGCAGGGGCCCTGCTCTGTTCTCAGCACACAGTGCCTGGCAAATAATGAGAACTCGAGAAATACTTGTGATGGAGGAAATGTGGGAGCCCAGAGCAGTTTCTGAGACCCAGGCCAGAGTATCATTCATAAAGATGGAGTGGGTGGGAATGGGGAGGCCACCAGCAGGGAGCAGTCAGCAGGTTGGCACTGAATTGAGGCCCTGGAGCAAAATGAAAGGCAGAATATGAGAGATGTCCAAGGTCAGGTCTATAGTTAAACATGGGAGGTGGGAGGAGAGAGGAGGCGCCGGGAGGCTGATGAGGTATGGCACGTTGAAGAAAGTTCTCCTCAACCACCACCACGATTACTACCGATCAGCATAACCGCAAAGGCACGAGAGGCCTTCTTGGTTGGGGCTGCTCTCATGGGAAGGGGGCCTCTCGGCAGCCCGCCTCCCCTGCAGGTCTGGGGTCCTCAGCATGCCACTCTCAAACGTCTCTCCTGAATCACGGCCTGCATGTCACAAGACCATTTTCTGAATAGCCAGTGCCATTCTGACCTCACCGCTGGGCTTAAAGTTGGGGTGCTCCACACAGATCTGCCAGTGTGCGTATGTATGCGTGTTAAGCACCTACCTTACACTCAACACTTTGTGAGTCACCAGGAAAGAAGAGAAAAGAAATATGGGACAGAGTACCACCCCCGATAGATCCCCTATCCCATGATGGGGAGGGTGTGAGATGTGGAGAGGAATGCACACACCAGACAGGAGAAGAATGAAGTGCAACTCCATGTAACGCTTGTCTGCCCCAAACTCTTCTGGGGCATGAGAAATTGTCAAAGAAAAAAAGAAAAACATATTCATTTTTATCTTTTGATTCATCCCAGAGCTGAAGGAGAGGAGAAATCCACACTGGCTGTATACCATAAGCACCTTGTCAGATTGAGGGCGGGGGAGGGAGCGTCCAAGCGGAGGGAAGGGCACAGGCAAAGCAGAGACTGGCTGCAGTGCAGGGCTATGCCAATGTCCCAGGAAAGCCGACCTGCCAGCAGGAGAGCTGGAGGGCCAGGTGAGCACAGAATGAACACCAAGACTCAACACAGACCTTGCCAGTTACTGAATGGGTAGAACACAGGAAAAAACAAAGGGAGAGCTCCAGAGAGTTCTGTGGGGACCTGCCAGGAACAGCCCCTGAATGCCTGGAGGAGAAACGGGCATGGACCTCAAGTGCCTCTGGGTGACTCCTCCAAACACACTTGGACCATGTACAGTCTTCACAATGCAAAGCTGGTCCTCCTTACGTTTCCTAACATCAGTTTAGAGAAGTCAAAATCCTGTGAAACTGTTACAGGAAGACAGGGGCACAAAGGAAAATATCCCAGAACTACATATAGTGATCACACAAATACCTAAGTAAAACAGCTATAATATTAATGAGGCATGAATGAACAGTAACTTGTTTCCAGGACTGAAGAACAGCTGGCTTCTTTATCAGGGAACTCCCATGAAGGCTCTCTGTCAGGGCCCCTTCTAGTAAGAGGAGAAGAGAACGGACAGCTTCCTTCTCCACAGCCGGTACCCCACTTGGGACTGAAAGCAGATTAGACTGAGAGCACTTTCTTGTAGGCAACAGTGAAAATCTGTTTCCAGTTTAACCTGAAACAGTTGTAGGCTCTGACCAGGATACATTATTAATTAGTCAAAACAGAAGCCCCATTTTTAGTTTCCCATTGAATTAGGTATCTACACACTGTGACCTAGAATTGACAGTACAGCTAACTCTCTGTTTACCATGGTAATGGGGATTTCAGAGGATACCAGTTAGTTGGGAAGGAAAAACAATCCCATTTTATGCTTGGCAAGGTACGTATTACTGCATTGAGGAAGATGGCTTCCACTGACCAACCTCTGAGAATCTTGGACTTGCCCATGGTTTAAATCACACATTTCCCGTCCAACAAGCCAAGTGGTCTGATCCACCACTACAGGGGGCCCAGGCAGGCAGCAGAGCCCCCTTCAGTTTGTCAGGGTCTGTGGGCATGGGGAGAGCATGGGCCATAACCACATGCCTTAGCCAGACAGCTGATCCCCTATTCAGCTGTTGGCAGAACTTCTAGCAAGTGACATGTGATGGCGTGAGGGGGAGCACAGCCAAGCCGCGGGCTCCTAGGAGAGAGGAAGCAGGGGACCTGGGTCTACTGGAGGCTGGACCAACAGGCCCAGAAGGAGACAGGGAGAGAGTTGGCTGTACTGGCATGACAAGCACACCCCCAGCAAGCTGCCCAGCATGTCTAGGAAAGAGAAAAGCAAACCGCCGTCCCACCTCGGGCTGCGCGGTCACAAGTGAGGCAGGGCTGGGACCAGTCACCATTTGGGCGGGAGGCTAGCCCCAGGTGCGGCAGGAAGGGGTGGCGCTGGCTCAGCGGCTGCAGCTCCTCACTCTGACCCAGCGGGGCCCCTGTGCGGTGCTGGGGGCACAGCGAGGCCTCAGGCGCTGTCGGGTAGGGACACATACACACACACAGAGAGAGACACGCCATTAGAGGATACACAGAAGCCCCTGCAGGAGGTGTGGGCCAAGACCACTTTGTCCTTGTGGCCCACTGTGCTCAGAAGCTGTGAAAAGCCCACTGACCACATTCTGACCCAGAACATGCAGCTCAAGTTCAAGGTCTGAGGGAACCAGAAAACATCAGAGATGGGACCATGGCAGCATCATTTAGCCCGGAGGACCGCAGCTGGAGGCCCTGGGCTCCGTGTGAGGACAAGGGGCCTGATGAAACAACCAGACTCCCGTATCCCCACTGTCTCGCCCCTGCACCCAGAACACTCCACAAATTGTTCATGGAACGCAATGCTGTTTCAGCTCCTTGCGTTGTATCCTCTGGCTTCTTGAGAATGATGGCCATGAAACTGGCACACAAGCGAACAGCAGCTCCCCTGGGCCGTGCATCGCAACCACACAGCATGGGACCAACTCAATCCACAGGGAGCCTTTCTGGGGGATGGCAAGATTGTCCTTAAGAAAAATAAAAGAATTTCACTTCTTAACGGGCAATCTTCATTTCCTGGTGCAACTTAACCCAGACAGAGACTTCTGGAGGTTAAGGTTAAACTGCTCTCAAGTGGTTTCACGAAACCACTTAAAACCTTTGCTTAAGCAGAGCTGTTCAAACTAAGGGGGAAATGACAATAAGTAGAAATGGGACAAGAAAATGCTACCCTGCTCCACACTTTATCACAATTTACAATTCCAAGAGGCAGAAAGACCGACTTCAATATGCAAATCTCTCATTTGACACATTTCTCAAAATGCTGGTGGTGGTGGTACAACATCAAATTGAAACCTGCAAAAGCAGGAAACATTTCTAAGTGGTTTGGTAACAGAACCACTGACTAAGCAAGGGCTGACAGGGGTTTGACTAACTATAAACAACTTCCTTTAATAATAAAGTTTTCTGTTATGATGACACAGTGTTACTGATTCCATAAAGAAAGAGTATAGGAATCTGTGCTTTTGTTTTTGCAGCCAGAAGATACAATTCCTGTATCACCCACCTCCATCCCCGCCCTACCCCTCACAGGCCACCAGGGCCACCTGTTTGAGTGTGGGGTCCACACTGTAACCAGTATGGCAATGTGAAGATGGAGGGGCTCCTGTTCTTGAGACCACTTTCAGTGAAGGGACAGTAAGCCAATGTGGCTCTGAGACCCTGAACTCCACTTCTGTTGCCTGAAATCTCTTCTGAACATAGGGCAAAGACCCAAAGTAATCCAACATGCAAAACTGGAACAAAGGTCAGTCCGCCCAGTGCAGACCCAGCCATGCAACCAAATCACCAAGAACTCTCACTTGCATGTTTGAAAAGAAGGTCTTGCTCATGCTAACAACCTATAGAGGTTCTTTTGCATTTTTTCTCTTTTTAACTGAGAGAGACATCCAATCTCTGCCCTCTGCGATGCTGAAGCAGAATAATACACTGAAGCTTTCGAGAGACCTGCAGCACAGGCAGTAGAAAAACATTTAATCGAAGATTAAGGAAACAAGGCTATCAAGAAAGAGCATTCTTTTCCTCCTGGCTACCACACAGAGTTGGCTCCCCCTATTTGGGCAGCAGGGCACCCCTTCGCTGCCAGACCTCCTCCAAGGAGGAAGGAGGCGAGACCTGCGTCGATGTCCGCCTTCTCCCAAAGGTGGCAGGACTGAGGGAGCCCTGTCTGGATGTTCAGAATGAGACCTACAGAGCAGCAAAAGGCCTCAGAGAACCCCAAGCCAGGGCAGCCAAGGGACTGAAAGCCCCTTTGTAACTGCAACTCAGTCCAGACCAAGGGCATTGTTGTCCGAGCTGCCAAAAGCTGAGAACTGAGGACAAATTCAGACTCTGCAGAGGCCATCACTCCATCAGCCCAATGGCACCCACCCTACCTGCCACCCAGTGTTGCAGCATCTGCATGCTGTGCCTGCTCTGGCAAGGGCTGGGGAGCACTTCGATTACTCACAGCCATGGTAGGAGGCCGGTGACCCCCCTGCTTTGCCATACTCCTGTTCCGAGTAGCTGGTGGAGAGGTTGGGCTGGCTCGAGCCACGGCCAAAGGTGACCTGGTTGCTGCCCATGCCAGTGGCCACCTGGGCCATGCGCTCTTTGGTTTTGAGAGCCTGAGCCCTCTCAGCCTTCAGCCGCTCCTCATCCTTAAGGAGGGCCACCAGCTGCTTTGACTTCTCACGCACGTTGATGCCCTGGTCCTTGCCATCACGGTCAATGTACTGGAAGTCCTTCAGGGTCTGGATGGCGAAGATGTTCTCACGGCACTGCTGGGCCACCCGCTCGGAGCCTGTCTTGATGAGGTAGTCCAGCAGCGTCAGCGCCTTGTACACGTGCCGCCAGTTTTTGCCGTGGTCGTTGAGCCGCTTCCACACCATGCTCATGATCTCAGAGAAGGCCACCACGTTGTAGGTCAGGTCGGCGATCTCAGTCATCAGAGAGCTGGATGGGCCCCATGGGTCATTGGAGGTGGCTTCCCGGACTTTGATTTCGGCCTCTGAGTAATTGTTCACAATGTTTTTCATCTGCCTTCTTATAGACGAAGTCGTCATTTTTATTTTCTTTGTTACAAATTTAAAGCCCTTCAAAGAGAGAAACTTTCCTGTCCTCAGTAAATCCACACCCTATGAAGGTTCAGTTTCCGTAATTGATTTGGAGCAAGATCCCTGAACAGTCATTTCCTCCTCTGGACCCTCAGATCTGAAAAGCTGTAAGACATGACCTGGAGAAAGAAAGAAAACAAACTGCATTGTGACGTGAGCTCCCATGAGGGTGGGAGGCTCTGGCCCAGACACGTCTGCAAACACAGGCACTGGGTATTACTAGGGACTGTGAGTGGGCAGACCCTGGCCTCCTCAGTATGAGACAGTCTGTGTTTCCTTCGGAACTAAGATAAGATCAACGTCACGAGTTAATAATGAATAAAACGTAAACTGAAGTTTAAACCGTTAGAAGAAAAGAAGGTCTATTTTCAGAAAGCTTCCACTGGAATGGCTACTTAGCGGGTTGCACTTTCACTGCCAAGCAGAAGCCAGCTATAGAAGAATCAAACGTTGGGGGAAGTTGATCCTGAAAGATTTAAAATTATGTGTGGGGGCAAGAAAGCCTCTCATTTTAGGACTATCCCAACCCCAAAACTCCTGCCTACACCTTTAAAATTGCTAAACATTTGGCGTTGGTCCACTGTGCTAACTGCACAGGAAAGTCTCCTTGAGAACCACTTTTCTCCTGATCCTCCCTGCTCAAAAATTTATAAAGGGTCCTGACTGCTCTTCTAAAGCCAGGCTGACACCCTCTACTTGGCTTTCCAAAGCCTCCATGTCTGGCCTAGGCTAACACAACCTTGAAACTAAATCTGGCTCTAGCCTGACCCCTCATTTCACAGAGGAGGAAATGGGGGCCCCGGCTGCACATCAACTGGCTCCAGACACATCCATCCCCCGTCTTCCTCCAGATAGAAACACTTACCTAGCTAGACTCAGGTCCTAGTATCTGCAACACTAGGCTCTGGTCCATGAGTGTGGGGACCCCCATCTGCCTTGTCACCAGTGAGCATCCAGCCCCAGCACTGTGCCTGGCATGGAGATAAATGCTGTTTAATAAATGGATGTCACAGATCAAGAGAGCCACAGTCTGGCAGTCTATAAAATGAAGAAACTGAGGCCCAGAGGACTCCAGGGACTGCCAGAGACAGAGCAGTTAGGGCCTGAACAGAGAGCAAGTGGCTCTACCCACCCCCACTAGTCCAGCCTGGCCCTGCTGGGCCCTGTGGGCAGGGCAGGCTGTCTCACTTAAGGCTCATGAAAACCCCTCCCGGTAAGGACTATTCTTCCCATTGTACAGAAGAAGAACCTGAGGCCTGGAGACATGAGGTCAGCTGACTATGGTCACCCTGCTGGGACCTGCTTCCAGCACCCTTCCTCTAACCCTCCTCCCTTCACCTGCAGTGGCCCTTCTCTCCACCAGGCTACTGCACTGTTCCAGCCAGCTAAACAATGGACAGCTCCACCCCCCTCATTTAAAGTCTCAGGCGGGCAATGGGCACATCACAGAAAAAAGAAAAAGTAAAGAAAAAGTGTCAGGAGTGAGTAAAAGCCACAGGGAATGCAGTGATCACTCATCACACATATAGCCAAACAAATAAGAGGCGGACAGCTCAAATCACGTCAGTCTGGTGACAATCCATACATCTGCTCCACCTACGAGGCCTTCTCCCCACCCTCAAATATGCCAAGGATTCTGTCTCCATCTGAAGCCACAGAATGGGGCTTCATGGAAAGCAGGCACATTCTGCCTCTCCACCGATCTGGCCAGCTCTCATAAATCCTCTAAAGCCTTTCAGGGGACATGGGATAAAAAACCTTTTCATGGTGACCTGTACATTTTATTTAATTAGGTTTTTCATTCATGATGCAACATTCACTGATGGCAGAGATGGGATGAACCTCCCAGAGGAAAAATACTTTGATTTTGAGTGAGTATTTCCCAGCTTAAAGTGCAGAAACGTGTCAAAATCAGTAGTAATATTCAGACGCACTTAATGCCCAGGGGCCCTATGATGTGCCAGGGACCAAAAGGGCAATACATTTGTCATCCCATTCACTGCACAGGGTGGAAGTGGGTGGAGCCAGGCTGCACCACTGAAGAGAACCTTGGCCATCTCCTTCAGGGTCATGAGACAGCCTCAGTTAAGCAGAAGAGCAAGTGGCCCCTGTAAAAAGGTCTCGAATGGTTGAGAATATCTTATGAAACAAAGAACACTTTCCTAAGGGAGAAGTGATGCCCTTGGCTCCACTGCCTCCCCTCTAGTCCCTCCACCTTTGGGGAAGGAAGGTGGCAGAAAACCTCTAGACGGGCCCAGTGTCCTCCCAGGGAGGCTGGGGAGAGACTGTGAGGCCCAGCCAGGGCTCCCACTGAGCCTCCTAGGCCTTTGGTGGCAAAGAAAAGGCAGCAATTCCTGTGAATGAGGGACAGGGTGCCTCTGCCCTCCCAGACACAGCTGAGAAAGGAACTCCAAACAATTTAGAAACAGGGGCTTGTTGACCAAGGCAGGGACTTTCTTGCAAAAACATCTGTTAGTGGTTTCTTTGAAATACTTAGGCTCCAGGAAGAGGGAAAAAGCTAATAAAATATTTGTTATAGCCAGAAAAAATATAATAAAGCTTATATAAATTACATGGCTTCCCACTATTTTCTTAAAGTTTATAGACAAGAGCAGCTTTTAGGACCGGTGGATGGTGCGAAGGGAGTGATCTGAGGATAAGAAATCCCTACCAGGAGAAAGGACACCAGAGGTGCCTCTGAGAAACCATTTTCCAGGCCATCTGGGCTACACACCTCACCCGAGCAAGGTACTGCAGACTGAAACTTCTGATTGCAACTGTGAAAGAGCTCACAAGGTGTGTGCCACACAGCAGGTCCTCAACTGTGCACAGAGCTCCATGCTGCTCTAGCTGAACACGTGAACCTCCGTGTACACCTCAGACCCTGTTTTCCTATTTTAAACCTCTCCCCTCAACCTTGTCTGAGGCTGTAAATATTTAAATGTCTCCTCTGCCTGCAAACATCTGCCAGGAGTCCCTCCCAAGAGCAAGCCCCAAACACACACCACTCTCAAGGAAACATCCGTAATCCTTAGAACCTGAGTTTTACTTCATTCTCTTTTGAATAGCTTGCATGCTCCACTTTCTGAACTTTCCTTCTCGATTTGCCAGTTTTCTTCTGTTTCCAGCCTGTTGAGCCTGAACTAACACACATGCAAAAGCAACTAAAATCACTTGTTACCTTCTGGCTCCTCACTGAAACCTGAGGAAGCATGGTCAGTTCACTAACATCAATCATTTCTTAAGTACCTTCAGGCCAGATAGGGGTGAGATGGGAGTGGGGGTGGGGTTATGAAAACAAGAAGGAAAAATAAACTTTGTTAAAGGTTTAGACCAAAGATAGCAAAAAAAAAAAAAAAAAGATAATAAAAATAGGAGAACTTACTTTCATAAATTACATTCTGGCTGGCTGGTCAGCTCAGTTGGTTACAGCATGGTACTGATAACACCAAGGTCAAAGGGTTTGGCTCCCCATACTGGCCAGCCAGCAAAAAAATAATAAATTACATAAATTACATACTGACAACTGAAGGGACAAACGCCATTAGAACATGAGTAACTAGAAATGTCACTGGAAATCTAGTTCTATCATCAGGTATTAACTTAGAAGTATTTTATGATAAGTGGTAAATGAAGTACATTGAGTTTATACAATTCTGTGCAACTTTAAACATTTTTGAATGGAGACAGGAAAATGACTTTAAGTTGAGATTTACTATTCAAGACAAACAACTTTTTCTGTGCCTACCAGGAGAGCTGGGACAGGGGCTGAGTGGGCCCATAAGATGGCTATTTTATTTTTTGGATGAGATGACCAAGCAAAGTTTCCTGGTCACCACCCCACCACCACCACCACCACCACACCTCCCCAACTCTTGCTCCGGCCCTAAAAGGCTGTTTTAAAATTGTACTAATTAATGTTTTGATATTATACTGATTAATATTTCATTTTATTAAGAATCAAGGTTTCTGATGCACATGAGATAACCACTCTTAACTACACTGAGTTGATAAAATTCCCACCAACAGCAAAGAAACTGGACCCATCAACTAGCCTGGGGAAGTCACACTGTGGGCAATGCAGAATTTGTCAGGCCTTTCAAAAGGCCCTCAGAGCTTTGAGCTTCGGAGACTCCCTGTCAAAAGCCACAATCTATTCACCATGAAAGGGAACACACTCAGTTTTCTACCGTTAGTTACCAGAACTAGGGGAGGTACTTTAAGTCAAATAATACTCAATTTCCATCTTGGAAATGGAATTGATTGGTTTTTCCTGTGCAATAAACATATCCCCTCGTGAAGAAAAGAGTGCCTCAATCTTCCTTGGGCAACTGGCTAGGAGTAGGCCCCAGACTCACGCCAGGCCAGAGCACCACAGTCCCCCAGCCCGGTGGCTAGCTCAGGGGCATGTGAACAATCCAGACTGGGCCACTGGAGACCTCTCTGAATGGGCCCTGAAACTACCAGGAAACCAACAGGATTGCTAAGCTGCTGGGAGCCACCACAGGGCCAGAGTTTACCTAAGTCTGGAGCAGAAACAGAAGAAAACATGGAGTAAGGAGAGTAAAGGAACAAGACACAACATCACATAGTTTGAACTTCTGTCTCTACCTGTGCCTGAAGCCATTTATCCTCTGGCCTTCTCAGTTACATGAGAAGTCATCTGTAACCTACACCAATATGAGCTTTCGTCACTTGCAACAGCAAGCTCTGTGCAACGAGCACCTGAAAGCCAGCAACAGCCAAACCACGAACAGGACCTCCAGTAGAAATGCAGAGACACCAACCAGGCTCTCCTCAGCCATACCTGACCCACAACTGATGAGGGGCTGCACCCTTCCAGGGAGGCTTGGCACTCCCCATGAATGCAGCACCCCCAAAGTCTGGGATCATCTGGGTTTTTTTGCAAAAATGACATATGATGGAAACCAAAAAGTAACAGCTGGATCCCCATAAGTACAGGGTACAAGCTGGGAAAAAAATTCTGGCATACTTGAAAACACAACCAGAATTCAAATGACAGTAGAGACTGGAAAGACACTGAATGAAACAGCAAACAGAAAACTGAAAAGAAAAAAAAAATCCAAG